AGTTTATCATACCGGAGCTGTGCTTCGGTGAAATAACGATATGTAGGTTACACGTATGTAATCATATGAAAAATGTATGTGTAACATATTACTGCCACTTCATCGTACTGCAGCTTCATAATAATAAAAAGTTTAAATTCTTTATTATTTCCCCCTAAAAGTATAGTCAATCAGCTTAAAAATTTTTGTTGTTTGTTTAGTAAATAACGCCAAGACAGATTTTTAAAAATTTGGATTTTTCATATGTTATACTATTGATCGACAAATTTCGGCAAATACTTTTTGGTAGTGAGTGTAGTGTCCAAGGGAGCAACCCCATGTGATCGCGGAAATGCTTTATGCTGGTTATTGTTATCCAATCTCATGCCTTTACAGTTACTATTTGGATTTTATTTCCCCAGCATCTGAGACGATAAGTGCTTGTATTGACATAATCACCACTGCCCCACTCACCTTCTAAATTTTCGTCTTTATGAACTTTATTACATATACTACATGATGTTAAACAAGTAAAATAATCGATATTTTTATACTGTAGTTAAAAGATAAATTGGTAGCCTTTCCCAATATCACTTTAATTACATGTTTTCGTTTCTCTTTTGAATCTTCAAGTAAGACAGAAATTGAAGGTCAGGATTTTAGTTTGCGTGCGTTCTTTGCAATTTCTTTTGCAGATCGTTCTAATTCCGCAATTCTAGCTATAAGTCCCATTTTCTTAGCCAAGAATTCAGCATTTTCCCGTCTAAGTTTATCATTCTCAGCTACAAGCTTGGAGAGCTGTTCTTCTAATGATTTGATTTTAGATTGTGTATTTGCCATCTTTATATAAAATACAGATATGTTTAATTATATTAGCGAATAGTTCACATTGTTCACACCGATCACTTTTGCCAGGAAAAATTTATGCTGTTACTTTCCAATTTACAGTCTACCCTCCATATATGCACGCCAAGTCTTATTCCCAAGCTCGGGAGTTAGTAATATATGCACACCCTCTATATTTTGCATTGCACGGTTTTTTTCACTTCCCGCTATATGAAAATCACCCTCTCTATATGCACGCCCGTGATTTTCATGTGATCTGTATGACAAATTATAATTTACAT